TGCCTAGCAAGTGTATAGCCCTGAGTCCAAACCCCAGTACCACCACCACCAAAACAGGGGGGAATAAAAGGTTTTATATGCTTAACACTCAAAGAATAATGTTTATACCTTTGAGCAATTTGGTCCAGTATCAGCCTGGAATGTTAGTTGGAGCTTTCAGAAGAGTTTTATAGCTTGCTTCCTTCTCCACTTAAGAACTTGTTTTTGTTTTTGCTTTGCTTGCAAGACTGTGATGACTATTTGCAGGTCTATTGAGAGGAATTACTTTGATAAAATTTGGTATGAAAAGAAAATAGTAATGTTTTGGTTATTTATCCAAATAAATATCAAACTCTGTTTCCTATTCTTTCCAGAAGGCTTATCAGGTTGGTCACAATCTATAATAGGGAATCATCCAATGCATCAACAATTATCAGACCCAAGCACATTCTCCCAACATCAACCAATGGAGAGAGATGATTCTGGAATGGTAGCCCCCTCTAACATTTTTCACCAGCCTATGGCAAGCGGTTTTGTGGATTTTTCTAAAGTGAGTTGACAAACATCATTGTAACTTGTTTGACACTTTGCCAGCCAGTATAGTCACATGTTAAGAAATAGTTTGTGTTGAAATAATTCTTTTGTTTCCATGACTGCCAGATGTTTTATTTAGTTTCAAGAGTGAGAAGTGCAACCTCCAGTAGTTTGTCCTCAAACTGTCCTGAAGATGTCTCCATCCTAAAGCTCTTAAGGAAGTTAATGTTTATGTTTGCTACCATGTTTATAGTCTGCTACCACAGCTTTGAATGAGGTCTCTGCCCCTCTAAAAAGCTTCTGACTCTCCACTACCATCTTGTATATTCTGATACCTTTCTGGCTGCCATAAAGCAGATAGATATATGGATCTAAGTATTCATAGAGAATTACCCCTTTCTTAATCCAAGCTTATCAGTAAAACAAAAGAGGACCTTATAGAATTTTAATTTTTTATTCAGATTGAATATGTTTTCACCAAATGTGGGCAATTTCTTCATAATTTCGTATTAGAATTTTTTTCTCTTGTGGAAGAAATTATAGTTACGGGGTAAATGTTAATGATATACTTCCAGGATCCTATGGTATTAACTGAATGAAGGGAAATTTAGAGTAGATTAAGATATTATCAAGAATCACTATTTATAAGTATTTCATAATTAAGCCACTTCTTTTTTTCCCCTACCCTCTGCCATTTTAGGGTCTGCCAATTTCTATGTATGGAGGCACCATAATACCCTCTCATCCTCAGCTTGCGGATGTTCCAGGAGGCCCACTGTTCAATGGACTTCATAACCCAGATCCTGCTTGGAACCCTATGATAAAAGTTATACAAAATTCAGCTGAATGCACTGATGCCCAGCAGGTAAAATGGGCTTATTGCTCTTTTAGTTTTTAGATTTACAAGTCATTCTTTAGCTATGGGTAATGCAAGTTTTGAGTCATGACTGACCACCTTAATCTCAGCTAAGTTTTTCAATAACAAGATGCTGCTGCTAAACATTTTGTTTCATATATATGTATTCTTCCTAGGCAGAAACTGAATTGCCATTGCATTTATATATTCATTTGTAAATGTCTAAAGATTCCTAATTAGAAATTCCAATTTTTCCTCCCCCTTTTCAGATTTGGCCTGGCACGTGGGCACCTCATATTGGAAACATGCATCTCAAATATGTCAACTAAGTTAGAAGTTCTTTACTCTTTAGCCTTGTTTGAGGAACTTTGGAAGAACTCTGGGGATTTTTTTTTTTAATGTGCCTAATTAAGAAATTTTCTCTGAGGCTTTAGCAATGGAAATTTGATTGCCCATTGTATAAAAACAAATTGATTACCTATCCACCTGATTATGTTCTCTGGTTAGTTTAGCCATTTTCAACATGAGATCAGATGAATTTAGTGCTTCTGGCTAAACATACTGAATGCTACTTGTATGCAGAAAAGAATTAGATGATTATAATGTTTTAACCTTTTAGGGTGATAAATACATGTATAATTGTTTACATACTTAAAAGGAAAAAGTTGAGTAAATTTCTTGTCATATAGTGGCTCCACTTAATGTAGCCTGTATTAATGTGAAATATTTACCAGAATATTCAATAAAAAGATGAACAGTGTTTAGAAGTGGGGTGTGATCCTTTCAGTGGTCATGCAGGTATAACCCAATCCACAGCGATATGGAACCAGCTTCTCACATTTTACACCATGGAGTTTGTTCTTAAACTGCTTTCAAAAAGCAACTGGCGCTGGGCACAGAGGCTCACACCTATAATCCTTGTTACTCGGGAGGCTGAGATCTGGGGATCATGATTTGAAGCCAGCCTGGGCAGAAAAGTCTGTGAAACTCTTATCTCCAGTTATTTAGCAAAAGCTGGAAGTGGAGGTGTGGCTCAGCCTTGAGCATAAAGCTAAGGAAGAACACCCTGTCCCTGAGTTCAAACCCCAGTACCAGTACAAAAAAAAAGTAACTGTTAAGACTTTCCTGTTTGTTCTGAGTTAAATATTCCCATTTCTTTATTGTCTTTCCCTATCATTTTACATATAAGAAATGTGTTCTTGGCTGATTCTAACAGATAGGCTACTAAAAGTTTACTCTTTTTGAATCCTGAGTATGTCAAATAAGAACTTTTGGATTTAAAGCAATTGACATTGAACAAATTTAAGGACAACCAAATCATCAACTTCAGATTGCTTTTGTGCTTCCTGACTTTTATTTGAGTTGAAACATAGAAGGGAATGACTTCTCTGTTGCTTACTATATTGTTAAATCAACTGAGTAATACTTATAAATATGTAACTCTGGGCTTAATTCCATGGCTCAAAGTATGAAGAACCAAATGTTTAACAAGCCGAATACAGGAACTCTGAAATGGATTGACCAAACCATACATTATGCCAAGAATCTGATGAAATAGGAAAAGAAAAGTTATTTTACTGAAAAGCATAATCATTGACTTCTTTCTATTTTAACATAGTTGAATTGACTGATCTAGTATGTAAGCCGTATGAAAAAAAGAAAAAAAAATAGTTGAAGCCTGACAGAAAAAGCAAAGGAGGATATGTAGAAAACTAAGGGCAGAACCATACAGGCAGCATCTTTCTTCTAATAACAATAGGAATTATTCATCTTCTCTGACCACATAAAGCCAGCATCAGATCAGATTAACCATATTTGTTACATGTTAGACATATCTGGTCCTTTAGGACTCCACATCATCTTACATATGAAAAAGATACTTGTTTGTATGGGGGTTTGGGGCAGTGTTGAGGATAGACCCAGGGCTTTGAGCCTCCTGGGCAAGCACTCTACCACTGAGCTAAGGAATATTTTCTTTGGGAGTTTTTATGGATTTGGGGTTTTACTTTGTTTGATGATATTGGGGTTTGAACACAGAGCATCACACTTGCTACACAGGCTTTCTACCAGTTGAGCCATATCCCTACCTTATTTTTAATGGATTTGTCAAGTATCATTGGTATGATGTTACTGCTTCTCTTCTCTTTTTGACACAGGGTTTTGCTATGTAGTCTAGGCTGGCTTCAAACTCATGATCCTCCTACCTCAGCCTCCTCAGTGCTGGGATTACAAATTTGTACCACCAGAGTTACTGCCTTTGTAATGGTTGATAATCACAATGAGTTTTCTCAAAAGGCCCCTTTGTTCTAGGAAGGACAAAAGATTCCCTTAGATAGTCTATGTATCTTGCTATTTCCATTCACTACTAATAAAAATCACTTAAAATGAGTGAAACTACTCCATGGAATATACACCGGGGGAAAGATATATTAAATATTCAACAAAAAGGTGAATTTTAACTATAATATATTTGAATTGTCTAGAGAAACCTTTAAATCTAGGTTCTATACTGGGTCAGGAATTAAAGAAAACAGGGAGGAGCCCCAAGGAGAATGAGGGAAAAACAAGGAGTTGTATAGTGAAGTAGTTCTTTAGGATACCCTCCTTCCTTCCCTCTTACCAGCACTGCCTGCCTACCTTTCTTTTTGGATCCTAGTAGCTTACTCTCACTCCTTTTCACTGCTGTAATCTCTTCTTCCTCTTCCTGCCTCTTTCCTGGCATTACTTTACTGCTATTTTACCAACCTGAACATTGGATAAAACCTAGCTCAGGTAAGAACTGATTACTTTGAAAATATACTAAGGATGGGGAAGGGGGACAGTATAGGTACAGTGGAATATGAATCAGAATCTTGAATTCTATTTTCATGTCTTTCACTTGATGCTATATGACTCTAGGCAAGTCATTTCATATTTCTGAGCTTCACTTTTCTCATCTAAAAATGAAATTCGACTTAAAAGTCTTTTGGTTTGAACATAGGTTTTCTTCTTTTTTTTCTGAGTGGAAATAACATGCTATGGGACTAATGGAAGCCATTAGAAGGTTTACAATATTGAGGCTTGTTTCTGATATGGAATCAAAAGCATAAAATTTTTTTGACCAGTATTGATTCTGAGATTTTAGTGGAGGCGGAAGAAAACATTCTACATCAATAGTGAGCCCTCAAGTCATTAAGAAACATTCAACTAAAGCACATGAGAGTAACTCCTCTTTCAAGGAATACAACTGTCCTCAAGGTTTCTGGCTCATTTACTTAAAGTAGTGTCAATGAAATAAAATTTTACCCCCAATAAAATTATTGATGTTTTAAGACTCTTTATACCTATTGTGGCTACAGTGTGCTGACTTGCCCTTTTATAGGCCAGTCTGCTTTCTTCAGTCCCTGCTCTCAAAGGGGAAATACCATCACCTCAGCTAACCAGACCAAAGAAGAGAGTTGGACAGCCAATGGTGGCTTCTCCTAACCAGAGGTAAGAAATCTCAGGACTTGAAACTGTATTTTCCATCTGTATGGTTTCTAATGTAGATTCTGGCCAAATCCTTCTCCCTACTTGTACATAAGGGGACTATCCTTAATTTGAGTTAGCTTGTAGAGTTTGGCTTGAGAGTTTCAAGCCAAAGGAGAGGAGTATTTGGTATACATGTTCTATCCTACTGTTGAAGACCTTTGGACCATATTGTAAACCCAGAAAGAGGCAAACAGGCCTGTAGGAAAACAACATCTGAACATCTTGTTCTCTAACTAGCAAGAATCACTTCTACCAAGAAATAGTATGGCTGTTTATGACGTCATCTCAGTGAACCCTGTCCTGGGTAAAAAGCTCTGATAACACTACATTCTTCTATTTACCCTCAATCATTTGTGAGTTGACAACAGGCAATTCACCTTCATTCTGTCCTTTAGGAAATGAGTGGGGGGAGGGTTTAAGTATCAAAATCTTGAGCATATTTCAGACCATTTCCAATAAAAGGCATGAAACCTGTTGTAGTGCTATGAGTCTTCTATAGTTCCTCCTATAAGGAGGAGCTCCTGACCCCAGGAGTTTGAGACTAGCTTGGACAACACCATGAAACCCCTTTCAAATAATAATAATAAAATACTAATAAAAATAATAAGGGAGCATGAGGCTGGGTTTAGAAAATGAGATCATGAACCAAAATTACTTTTCAGCATCCATAACTAATGCAAAAATACTTGTTTCTTCATTCAAATTGCATGATGCTGAGCCAGCTTTTCTCTCTAAAGCCAACCTGTTTTAGTTCTCTAGCCCTTATAGCATATAGTATCCAGAAAAGTTAGCTATAGGCCATAGTCTATAGTAGTTGTTTTGAAATAGAGATTAATAGCAGGAAGACTTCACTTCCACATAGACCCTGAATGAAAACCTTTTCTCCTAGTTTTGTTTCTGCTTTTTCTGAGGGTGTTTTTTTTTTTTGTTTTTTTTTGTAATTCTTCTTCCTTAAATGAGTGTTAAAGTGACCAAGTCTCTTCTTACCCTGTGTCTTCTCCTGCACATCTATGATCTTATGCCACACATTTAGATTTCATTCTACTCAAATCTGAAGCACTAGCCCAGAATTCTACCCTTGAACTTCAGAGCAGTCAATATATGTAGCTTCTTACTATGTTCTATCTGGGCATTCCATACACATTCATTCCCCAAGACAAAATATATCCCATTCTTGTTTTTCCTGTGTGCCTGTGTATGTGCACACACACACACATGCACATGTATGTGCCCTGGGGCTTGAATTCAGGGCCTGGGAATCGTCCCTGAGCTTTTTTGCTCAAGGCTAGTGCTCTACCATTGAGGGCATAGCTCCACTTCTGGCTTTTTAGGTGGTTGATTGGAGCTAAAAGTCTGACTTTTCTGCCTGGGCTGGCTTCAAACCTGGACTCTCAGATCTCAGCTTCCCAAGTAGCCTGGATTACAGGCATAAGCCACCTGCACTCAGCATTGTTTTCCCTCTTATATTAGTGTTAGTTACCAAGCCGGAAGCCATAAGATTAGGAATTATCCTAGCTTATCTCTATTTCCTCCAGTTCATCTTTCATTAGTCACATTGTCTTTTCTCCTCTGTATATCTAAAGTTCATCAGTTTTTCACCATCCTCTATCCCATTGCCTGTATCTTCTGCCACCATTGGTACTTCCTCACCTTACCTTGCTTAAAAGCTTAGGTGTACCTGGGTGCTGGTGGCTAACACCTATAATCCTACCTAATTAATTAGGAGGCTGAGACTGGAACCATCCTCCAGAATCAAGCCAGCCTAGGCAGAGAAGGCCCTGAGTTTAAGCCTCAGTGCTGGCACAAAAATAAATAAATTTTTAAAAATTTAAGCTAAAGCTGGGCGCCGGTGGATCACGCCTGTAATCCTAGCTACTCAGGAGGCTGAGATCTGAGGATAGAGATTCAAAGCCAGCCCAGGCAGGAAAGTCTGTGAGACTCTTATCTCCAATAAACCACTAGAAAACCGGAAGTGGCACTGTGGCTTAGGTGGTAGAGCGCTCGCCTTGAGCTGAAGAGCTGAGGGACAAGTGCCCAGGCCCAGAGTTCAAGCCCCACGACCACCAAAAAAAAAAAATGACTTCACTTTGCATGACAGTGATTGAAAAAGACTGAAGGAAAGTTAAGAACTAACTTTCAGGCAAGAACACCAGCAAGGATGGTTAATATATCCAGTACATTGGTCTGTAAGTTATTTGACCCCAGTCACGACCAGTGATGGTTTTTGTTCTACCCTTTCATTTCCCTTTATTCTGTT